CCTGGAACCCAGACGGAGCACTGCTGTGAATTGCAATTGGCTGGATGACAGTGGGGTTGTATATATGTGACACCCTTCACCCACACCAACAGTGCATTTTCAGTACAAGGTAAAAAGGGACTTTGCAGGAAAGGTCTCCTCACCCGCTGGTGTGTCTACCGTGACAGTATCACAGATCTTCTTTCTTTTGTCGACCTCGATCCTCCTCCTGGATGCAGGAGTGTTGAGACTGTGGCAGTGACAGCTGCACTCCCAACTCTGTGGCAGCAACTGGAGAGAGCAAGCAGTCCAACTTGTCCTTACAACGTCACGACTTTTCTTCTTGGAAACGCTTTCCGGCATCACTTCGTACGTGTCCCCCGGTGCTCTCCGAGGTTTCTCATATTGCATTTAAACATGATGAAGATGAGAGCCAAGAGAAGCTCCTTTTTTACTGGAGAAACAACAAACTGGAGAAACTGCTCACGCGGAGACAATTGCAGTCATAGGGCCTCTGAGCACATCTTAGAGGTGCAAACTCTCGTTCAAGGGCACCTGTATGGTATGGATGTTTCTTGTCTGTCTCTTCCCATTTCTGAATCTAATAAACGTGTCGGGAGGCATCAGGGGGACCTGTTCACATCTGTGTCCCCAGAATCATGCTGGGTGTTTGGTGTTGGACAGACATACTGCTCTTGCTTCTTCCTGGCCACTAGCCTTTCCTTCTGTCCAGCCCTCACGTTGGTGCTGGGGGCCCACCACATTCATTCTGACTCATAATGACCCCACAGGACAGAGAACTGCCCTATAGGCTTCCCAGCCTGCAATATTTATAGATGCAGATTTCCAGAATTTTTCTCCCATGGTGAGTTTGAACCACTGAGCTTTTTGGATGGCAGTGGGGTGCATAGCCTCTGTACCACAAGGCCTCCTCTACAGGGCCCAAGGGGCGTGTGAGGGTCTTTTTTTTTTTAAATCCACAATGGACCATGTCCCTTCCCTGCTTAACGCCTTCCGCTGGCTCTCCAGGGCCCCACAAGATTTTTGGTGGCTGAGGTTTTGTGTTTGTTGGTTTTGTTTTGTTTTTATCCCAAAAGAAGCAAACATGTTATTTCACTGCTCCTGAGTTGCAGCCGATTCATAGCTGACCCTCCAGTGGGTTTTCTGAGGCTGTAAACTGCATGGAAGAAGATTTATGGTCTTTCTCCCAAGGAGCTGCTGTTGTGGTTGTGTGTCGCTGAGTCAGAACCGACCCCGAGCTGACTCTCTGGCAGGTTTTCAGAGGCAGTTAATTGCACGGGAGGAGATTACCCATCTTTCTCCCGCAGAGCAGCTGGTGGATTTGAACCGTGTGCCTTCGGGACTGCAGTGCAGCTTCTTGCCACTAGGCCACTAGAGCTCCTCAAGAAGCTAGTGGATTTCAGTTGCCAGAAAGGTTAGTGGTGCAACTCTGGGTGGCCCACGCCATCAGAGCTCCCTTCACATGCCGCAAGCTTCTCCTGAGGCCCACCTGGGTGAACTTGAACTTCTAACCTTTCGAGTTTGCGCCATGAGAAATGAAGTCACTACCAATGCAGAATCCAAAGCACAACTCCAAACCAGCTGCCAGCAGGTCGACGTTGCCCCATGGCGACCTTCCGTGTGCCAGAGCAGAGATGCTTCCTAACGTCTTCAAGGCTTCAAGCTTTCAGGAAGCCAATCTCCAGGCCTCGCTTCTGAGGGCTCCTCACCCTGCATGGCTAGCAGCTCAGTGTCCATAACCGTTTGCCCCCAAAACAAAACCCCAAACCAGCTTCATGGAATAAGACTATGACTCCTGATGAACCAGGTGTCAGAGCAGAGCCACGCTTCCCATCTTCTGCAGATTTCATTCTCTGGCCAGAGACAGCCAGGCTGTCCTTCTGAAGTGCCAAACAAGCGGACTTGAACCTGCAACCTTTCAGTTTTTAACCATGTACCCAGTGCAGGAGCAGGAGTTACCAACCAGGACAAACTCACCACCCTCGAGGACCCATGGCTGACCGTCTGGCGGGTTTTCAGAGGCCCTGAGCGACACGGGAGGAGACAACCCATTTTTCGCCCGCAGAGCATGTGGTGGGTTCGAACCGCCTGCCTTTGGGTTGGCAGCACAACTCCCTCTAGACTAGGCCACCAGAGCTTCTCATGAAGGAACAAAACCAACCAGCTGCCGTGGGGCTGAGCCTGCCTCAGGGTGAGCCCTCGAGTATCAGAGTGGAACTGTGCCCCCAGCGTTTCCAAAAGCTGTGATCTAGAGGGAACAGAGTGCCAGGCCTTTCTTCTGAGGTGTCAATGGGGTGGGCTGGAACCATCAACCTTCTGGTTAGTAGGGCTTAAGTGTTTGCACCACTCAGGACCTGCTGCTGTTGTCGATAGCAGCTCTGGAATCCAGTACAAGTTTCTCCTACACACAGGGCTCCCTCCATGGCCTGGCTTTCACCCTCTCATCCTCTACCAGCTCCAGATTTTGGCCAGAGGGGAGGATTAGGTGTCCCGTGACCATGGCAACCAGGTGTGCTGCCTGCATCGCTGAGCCATCACCCTGGGCTCCTCCCACCCAGCACCCCTGTAGGTCAGGGGAGAGCTGGCCCCAGGGCTTCCAAGGTTGTGAATATTTACAGAGGGAGCTCCGGTGGCCTGGTGGGTAAGGAGCTCTGCTACCAAGCCAAAGGCCTGCAGTTCACATCCACCAGCTGCTCCACAGGACAAAGGTGGACAATCTCCTCCTGTGCAATTTACAGCCTCTGAAAACCCGCTGGAGGGGCAGTGGCGAGTCGGTTCCGACTCAAAACACACATCAGTCATCACAGAAGCAGATCGCCGGCCTCATTTTTTTCTCCTGTGCAGAAGCTGGTGGGTTCGAACCACTGATTTCATGGTTATTAACAGGATGCCTTAACCACAGCACCACCAGAAACTGCACACTGACGTTTTTGTTTTTTTTTTTTTTCTGGGGCTGTAGGTCACACGGGGGGGGGGACACAGCCCATCTTTCTCCTGTGGAGCAGCTGGTGGATTTGAACCACAAAGCTTTGGGTGGCTAGGGCAGCTCCTTACCCACTAAGCCAGCAGAGGCCGCTTCCACTTAGCCGCATGGATGTGTATTTCTCCAGGTCTGTACTGTGTGTCCTACCCCCCAAAGCTGTCCCATGTGGCTCCCCACGCCCATGGCCTTTGATCACAGCAGTGGGTGTGAGTTCTCTGTCCCTCTGGTTCTCACAGGTCCCTGCTGCTGGGAGATGCCACTGCTTTGGCTCTGACTCAGCCTCCCCATGCTCCACCCTCACCCTCCTCGCTGTGTGTCTCAGCCCAAGGCCACGGTCCCCTTGCCACTCCAGCTCTTTGACGGTCTCCCTCTTTTCACTTCACCATTTGAACGAGCTCTGTTGGCCCAGTGGGTAAAGGAGCTGCGCTTGTCAACCCAGAGAGAGGCAGTTCGAATCCACCAGCTGCCTTGGGCAAGAAAGCTGGGATTTACTGCCTCTGAAAACCTGCTGGAGGGCCAGCTGTGGGTCAGGTCCACATCCACGGCAGTGAGCTGAGCTCTCCAACCTCCAGGTTTGAAGCCTCTCCTCCCCCACCCCCAGTGGTGCCCAAGAAAGGGCTGGTGATTTGTTTCCGTCGAGACCACAGCCAAGGAAACCCTGCAGGGCTCTTCTGATCTGTAAGGCCTGCATCTCCGTGGGTCACAGTGGACCCAGAGATTTGGTTTCTGTGGGGTTATAGACCCTTGTTTGTTAAAAATGTGGAATCAAGTCCCAACTGGAAAAAAAAATACACCCTTTTCCCTCTCCCTCTCTCACAGTCCTCAAGTTGGAATGGATTCACGGCTCGCCCTCCAGTGGGTTTTCAGAGGCTGTAAACCGCATGCGGGTCCCTCCTCTCCCTCGCAGCGGCTGGTAGATCCGAACCGTCGGAGAGGCCCAGCCTCTGAGTCAGCAGCACCACTCCCTACAGACTAGGCCATCAGAGCTCCCCCCGTATCCTAGAGGAACACAGGCCTGGTGCCACAGTGCATAAAGCACCAGCTTCCACCTGACAGGCCAGGGGTTCGACCCCAAGCAGCAGTGTGAGGGGGGTGGGGAGAAAGGCGTGGCCATCTGCTCTGTGGCCATTCACACAGCCTTGGACACCCCACGGGGTGGTTCTGGTCTGTCCTGCAGGGTGGCTGAGAGTTGGAACTGACTACCCAGCTGAGGGTTTAGAGCCACACAAGGGGACCCTGGTGGTGCAGTGGTTAACGGTCATGGGCTGAACCTCAGCTGCAGGTCTACTGCAGAGAGATGGGGCCGTCTGCACCCACAAACAGGACGAGCATTAGTGGTCACTGCTGGGGTCTGAACTGATGCATAGCTGACCCTCCTCCAGCTGGTTTCTGGAGGCTGTAAATCGCACAGGAGGGGACTGCCCATCTTTCGCCCTTGGAGCTGTAGGGAAATTTGAACCGCCAAAGTACCACCTTGGGGTTGGCAGAGTATCTCCCTAGGCTCCCCCCTTAGGCATTACAGCCTTGGAAGCCCCTGGGGTAGTTCCCTGTCCTCCAGGGTCACCTTGGGTTGGAGCAGATTCCAGGGGGCTGGGGGGTGGTTAATATATTTTTCAGAGAAAGACATGCTTTCTTAGATTCTGTCTCACCTTCCTGAGGGTCCCCCCCCCCCCCGCCAGCAGCCACCCTCGGGGGCAAGGAGGTTGTCTCTGCTTGCAGTGAGGAAGTGGAGACCCGGAGGGGCAGTAGCCTGCCCCAATGTCACAGCCAGGAGCAGTGGCAGCCAGCCAGCCAGGTGGGAGGCCCTTCTGATCCCAGGTGGGGTGTGTGGGGGGTCTCTTCCTGGACTGGACTCCTCCCTGGATTATGTCACTACTGTCCTTGCACCCAAAGCCTCGCCCACCTCTTCACCCTGCCTTTACCCCCACATGACCTGCCCCTTGGCTTGCTAGCATCACCCCCTTCCCAGAGGCCACAGCTGAGCTCCTGGGGGTCCCTGCCACCCCGCCACACTCACTGTGGGTCATGGCTGTCTCTTGCAGCGTGTAGGTCATCTGAGTAAAGATATCATGCAGCTGGCTTCTCTCTTCGTAGTCTGGGGGGGGTGGATGGAGTGTCGGGGAGCTCCTCAGCCCCGTGACCCTAACGCAGCCTCGATCTCGGCCTCCCTGAGTCTCTGTCCCCAGGACCTGACTCTCTGCACATCTCCACCCTCTTGAGCCTCTATCCACCTCTCTCTCTGGGTCTCTAACCCTCTGCTCCCTGAGCTCCTGTGCCTGCTGAGTCTGTACCACTCCCAGAGTCTCTATCTACCTCTTTGGGTTTCTATTAGCCTCTCAAGGTCTCTATTGCCTTCTCTCTGTCCTCTTTCTATCTCTGTCCCTCCACCCCCTGCTGTGTGTCTATGTTGCTCCCATGGCCCCAGCCCTGGGGTCTCTGTCCCCCCTCTCTCTCTGGCTCTCTGTCCCACCCTCTCTCTGAGTCTGTCCCTCTCTCTCTCTGGGTCCCTGTCCCCCTCTCTTTCTAGGTCTCTGTCCCCCCAGGTCTCTCTCCCCCCTCTAGGTTTTTGTCCCCCCCTTGAGGTCTCTGACCTCCTTTTTCTGACTCTCTGTCCCTCTCTCTCTGTACCCTTCTCTGTGTCTCTGTCCCCCTTCTCTCTCTGGGTCTCTGTTCCCCTCTCTCTGCCTCTTCGCTGTCCCCCTCTCCCTGTGTGTGTCTCTGTTGCTTTCCTCTGTCCCTGGGTCCCTTTAAGTTGCTGTCTTTTGTTCTGTTCCTCTAAGTCTCTAAGTACCTGTCTGTCCACCTCTCTAAGTCTGTCTGTCTGTTCCTCTCAGTCTCTGTCCCTCTAAGTTTGTCTGTCTGTCTCCCCCTCTCTATGTCTCTGTCCTCCTCTATCTGTCCCCTTCTCTCTGTCTCCCTCTAAGTCTCTCTCTGTCTGTCCTCTCTCTCTAAGTCTTTTTGGTATACCCCAAGTAGTCTGTCCCCCTCTAAGTCTCTGTCTCTTCCTCTCTATCTCTGTCGCCTTCTCTATCTACATCTGTCTCTTCCTCTCTCTAATTCTGTCTCCTTCTATCTCTGGCCCCCTAAGTCTCGGTCTACCCGCTATATAAGTGTCTGTCTCCTCTCTACGTCTGTCTCCCCTCTAAGTCTCTGTCTCTTCCTGTCTCCCCTCTCTCTACATCTCTCTGTCTCCCCCTCTCTCTATGTCTCTCTGTCTCCCCTCTCTGTACATCTCTGTCTCCCCTCTCTCTACATCTGTCTCCCCCTCTCTCTACGTCTGTCTCCCCTCTCTCTACGTCTGTCTGTCTCCCCTCTCTCTACGTCTGTCTCCCCTCTCTCTTGTGTCACCTCTAAGTCTCTGTCTCTTCCTCTCTGTCTCCCCTCTCTCTACGTCTCTCTGTCTCCCCCTCTCTCAGTCTCTCTCCAGCTGGCACTCAGCAGGCCCCTCTGGTCCCCTGTCTTCCACCGTGGGGTCTCTCACTGATCTCCGTGGGTTGCAGGCCCTTGAAGGCTGCTGTGAAGTCGTCCTCGCACCTCTCCTGCGCTGGCCTCTTTGGCCCCACAAACAACTGGCAGACATGGAGGCGCTCAGAGTAGGTGGTGAAGCAGAGGAGGCAGGCGCATGTGGGCGCTGTGATGACCGCCAGGGTCACCAGGGCCATACTTGCTGGGGCCAGCAGAGCCATTGCTGAGGGCTTGATGCCAGGAGAGAAGCTGGTGACCTCACAGAGGTCACTGTGTGGCAAGGGAGGGGCCGGTGACGTAAGGTCAGAGGTCAGGCTTCAGCTGGTGGTCAAATGGCAGGTTTTCAGAGAAGGGTGGTGAAGGGTCAGGGAGCAGGGATCAGGCCAGTGATGCCCTGAGTGGTAGTCAGGCCGGACGCTGGGCTCCCAAGAACCTCACCTGTGACCTTGGACATCCTCACAGGTTAAAGGGTCTCAGGGACCCAGGGGCCAGCGACGTGGGGCAGGGCGGCCAGCGGGGGACAGCGGGTAGGGTCAGAGCCAGATGGAGAGCCAAGCAGAGGTGGCGAGTGCCAGAGACAGACAGACACCGGAAGACAGAGGACCAGAGAGACAGAAAGATGGCAGAGGGTGAGAGATGGGGATTGAGCTTAGGGGCCACTGTACAGAGAGGAGAATTAAGAGCCACCCTGAAGAGAGACGCAGTGTACCAGCCATGGAGACGTGGGATAAAAAGGGAAGAACAGCATAGGATGGTCTGGCAGGAGCCGAGAAAGGACGTCAAGGGACACCACACGAGACGCAGCCCAGTGACTCCTCCCGGAGACCCTGCAGCAGCCCCCTGAGCCCCTGCGGGTGGGGCAGCCAGGGGTCCCGTGCGGGGCGCAGCCTGGGGAAAGCTAGGAGGCCGTATAGTGATCTCCTTGGGTGTCCTCCTCAACTATACAACCTCCTACCTCAGCCCGGGGGGCGCGGCGGGTGGACGGACAGACGGACAGATGTGTGTGGGGGGCGCCAGGAGGACCAGGGAGGGCGGGGAGGGCCGGAGGCCCCGGCCGCGATGGTGAGCCCGACACGGACCCACAGACACGAGCTTGTGTGCGGCGAAGGCCCCGCAAGGTCGGTTCTACGGGTGGGTGCCAGGACCCAGGTGTCCGGGCCCCCGACCCCCTCCTCCCCGAGGGACCCAGATGTCCGGGCCCCCAGTCCCTGGCCCCTTCCTCCCCAAAGGTCCTTGGCGTTGCCTGATCCCCATTCCCCCACCAGTCTTCTCTCTCAGACCCAGAAATCCTTAGAAGTCCTTAGAACTCCCCCAAAGCCGCCTCCACCCTGAGGTCCAGGCGTCCCACCCTCAGCCCTTTTTTTTTCAGGAGGCTTTAGAGATTTGCTCCCACCCCACTCCCAGCCTCCCCAGACCTAGGAACCTAAAGCCACGTTCTCACTTCCAAGGGATCCAGGAACTCTGAGCATCCCTTGGGCCTCGTGGAGTCCAGACTCCCCGCCCCTGCCTCCTTCAGACCCGGAGTCCAGGATCCCAGTCCACCCTCCCTTGGACCCAGCAGTGTAGACCCTCAGCCCCTCCTCGCTGGGACCCTCCTAGCTCTGGCTCAGGAGTCCTCAGCCTCAATGCCCTCCTCCTCCGCCTCGGCTCCTTCAGACCCCCAGTGCCTCCTGCTTAGACGCGGAGGTCCACTGGGGAAGGCGGGCACAGCCAGAAGGGAGGCCATGGGAACGAACCTCACCTGTCTCAGCATCTGGCCCCTCGGGCAAGGTTACTTCCCACAGTTCAGGCTCCAGAGACTCCAGGGAGGGCCTGAGGTGGGCCTGGGGGTCTGTAACTGGCATAGCCTAGTCATTTCTCAGCGACACCCCAGGCCACCCCCACCCCCACCCCCGCCCCAGACAGGAGCTCTGAGTATCCCCATTCATCAGGCGAGAAGACTGAGGTTGCCACGGTTAGGAAAAGACTTGCCCAAAATCAGAGAGTGAGAGGGGCTGTGCTCCAGGACCCCCCTGCAAACCCCTGGGCTAACCAGCTGCCCCCCTCGGGGTCCCTGGCTCCCAGCGCCCTGGCTCGCTGCAGGCCTTCCCTGCTGTCAGTTCCATCCCGACCAAGCCCCTTTCTCTGCTGGCGCGCTCAGGGTTCAGGCTGCCCTCCCTCGCTTTCAGTCTTACCTGCCCTCAATCTCGCCCTCTCTCTTCCTTTCCCCACCACCTCACCGTTCTCAGACGCTCTGCCTCCCATGCCGCCCCTCTGCGCTTCCTCCCTCCCTTTCTCTCCTGCTTTTTCTCTCCATTCTTGCAGACCCCCCCTTTCTCTTCCTCCGTCCCTCCGTCTTTGTCTCTCGTCCTCTCAGACCCTCGGTCTCTTTCTCCCTCCATCTCTCTGCCTCCCCGTTTCCTCCCTTTTCAGCATCTGCCCCGCTCCTTCCTCTGTTCCTCCCTCCATCTATCTCCCTTTCTCTCCTTCTCCCCTCCCGGGTCGCTTTCCCTCCCAGTCCCTCTCCCCTCCCCCCTCTTCTCTTTCTCCCTCTCCTCTCTCTCCCTCTCTTTCTCCTTCCCTCTCTCCCTCCCCCTCACAGCAGCTCGCTCGGAGCCAGGTCTGGAGCTGGCGGTGGGGTGGGGGTGGCTCGGGAAGGGGCCCCGGGCTGGGGTAGCGACCTGCTGAGGGGGGGAGGGAGGAGAGGCGGGAAGGGGGCGGAGAAGGGGAAAGGGGGGGAAGGCAGGCGGGGGGCCCAGAGACGGGTCCTCAGTCCCAGCCCTCAGTCCCTGGCCCTCCTTTCCAACCTCCCAGACCCTACGGCGGGGGCGAGAGTCAGGCCAAGGTGGGGAGGAAGGGGAAGGGAGGAGGCTGCCCCCGCCCCCCCCACCTGGCCCAGAGCCCAGGCCTGCTTCCCAGCATGCCCCGGGGCTGCCTGGGGCCTGGGGAGGGGGGTGAGGGGAAGCCGAGGACCTGCAAGATTTGCAGGTCCCGTGCACCCCCCACCCCAGCCCCAGCGCATCCCTGGGGGGAGGGAAACTGAGGCCCAGAGCCAAGTGTCAGGCCTTGTTCAAGGTCACGGGACTAGGCAGTGGGAGGGCCCTAGGCTCCCTTAGGCCGAAGGCCTAGTTCTGGAGAAGGGGTGGGCTTCAGGACTCCCCCCCAGGTCTGGGTCCCCCTCCCCCTCCCCGCAGACCCTGGGGAGCCCCCAAGGGTCAAGAGAGCAGACCCAAACAGTCTGGCACCATAGCAACCAGCTGGCCCCGCCTCCTTAACCCCTGGAGGGCTGGACTCCAGCAGGGGTGAAGGAGGTGGGGGATCCCTGGGTTCCGGAGGAGAGGTCCTGAACTGCAGGTTTCTATGGAGAAGGATGCTGGAGGCCAGGACCGAAGTGGGGCTTCCCGAGGGGGTGCGGGCCCAAGCTCTCAGAGGAAGGGGCTAAAGTTCTGGGATCGAGTTTTCAGAGAGTTGGCTTTGGAGGGTGGCCGCCCTGGACTCTGGGAACAGGAGTCTTGGGATTTGAATCCTGACTCCTGGGACGAAGCGAGCTGGGGAAATTCTGCGAGGGGATGGGGGCTCAGCTGTGGACCGCTGGGTCGAAGGGAGGAGGGACTGGGGTCAGGACTCCAGGTTCTGAGAGGGACGAGGGGCTGAGGGTCATTACTCTTAGGCTGTGGGAGAAGAGACTGGGGGTCAGTACTGTTGGGACTGAGGGAAGAGGGATCAGAGGCCTGGGCTCCAGGGTCGGAGGGAGGAGGGGCTGGGGGGCGCCCTGGGCTTCTGAGGCTGAAAGGGGAGGAGCTGGGGCCCAGGGCCCGGACTCCTGGGTCTGAGGGAGGAGGGGCTGCGGCCTGGAATCCCAGGTCCCCAAGGGAGCCGGGATGCGGGCCTCTCCTTCGCCAGACATCCCCTGCCCCCGCCGCTGACCCTGGCCTGTCTGGCAGCCCAGACAACCTACCCCCTCCTTCTCGGCCCCCTCCCACGGCTCACCCTTGACCCCTCAAAGCCCCGCAGCCCCAACCCTGCCCCTCCCCCTCCCCTCCAGCCAGACATTAACCCTTCCGCGGCCAGCGGCATCGCCAAAGCCAGACGGCCCTCCCGCGAGGGCTCGGGCACCTCGTTCCCCGGCGGCTCCCTCCGCAGACCTGAGCCCTCCCAGCCCCCATCTCCTTCCTCCCACAGGGACCCCTGAAGGCGGCTTCCCGGCCCCTTTCTGCCAAGACTCTTAAGCCTGGGTTCCCAGCTCCCCTGCTCCTTTGAGAATCCAGCAGTCCTGGCTCTCAGCCGCCTTTTTCCTCGGGGACCCCGGGATCCGGAGGGGCCCGGTCCCCGCACCGCCTCCCAGGCCGCAGACTCACCGCTCCCGCGGCTCCCGCGCCGAAGGCACCGGGGTCTCGGCGGGCTGGCGCCGGGCCCCCCGCCGCC